AACCACACTGGCCAGGGAAGTACCTTTATTTTTGCATAAGGTAAAAGGGAAATGGTCAAAGAGATTGGTACACTTGCCTGCATCTTGCTTTGTGCCATTTATTTAGGGCCTGAGCTTGGGCTGGGCGTTGTCCTCATGGCAGAGCTGTCCTGCTTGTGTGAATGGCCACTGGGTTCTACCATGACACCCATTCTCCCCTCTCCTCTGGGGCTCTGGGCCTGAACTGTGGGGGCCCACACCATCTGACTGTACCCCAGCACCCATGGGGAGACATGTCCCTGCTCTGAGCATGAGGGAACAGAACTCTGGAGGGTCATGGGGGCTGTCCCTCCCTCCTCTGTGACCACTGCCCACGTTGTTTGCTCAGTGAGGCCCATGGTGGGGTCTCAGGGCCTGGTGTCCTGGCTGTGGCCCTGTGAGGCCTGTCTCAGCTCCTGTGATGCCTGTCTCAGCTCTGGGATGTGGCCCCACAGCTATCTTTGACTACCTGATAAGGTCATCTCCCTTCACTGTTTGTTCCAGAAGCATCTGTGGAGTGCTTACTCCATGAGGGTATCTTCTTTGCTACACTGTTTAACCCCTCTACCCTCCTGCTCCAGCCATCCATCCATTTATTCCTTTTACCCATGGCCTGCCTCACACATTCCCATGAATGTTCCAAGTTTATGTACATAGCATGTCCTAAAAGTTCTGGCTTCAAAATTTGGACTATAGAGGCCACCTAATTCATGCATTTGTTATGATCTCCTGTTACTACTTTTATTTTTTAAATATATTTTTATTGATTTTTTTTTAGAGAGAGAGGGAGATAGAAATATCCATGTGAGGAACATCGATCAGCTGCCTCCTGCATGCCTTCTGCTGGGGATTGAGCCCGCAACCCAAAGCATAAAAGTAGTGATGCTAGCTCTTAGAAGGTGCCCTGAGTGGGAATTGAACCGGGACCTCTCAGTCCATGTGATGATGCTCAATCCACAGAGCCACACCAGCCAGGCCTCCTGTTACTACTTTTAAATTTATCTATGGCCCTGGCCGGTTTGGCTCAGTGGTTAAAGTGTCAGCCCACAGACCAGAAAGGCCTGGGTTTGGTTCCCGCTAAGAGCACGTACCTCGGTTGCAGTTTGTCCCCAACCCCGGTTGAGTTCGAGTCAGTGGCAACCACTCGATGTGTCTCTCTCATATCGATGTATCTCTCTCTTTCTCCCTCTCTCCCTCCCGCTCTATCTCAGGATAAATGAAAAAAAAAAAAATGTCCTTGGGTGAGGATAAAAATAAATAAATAAATTTATCTATATGATAGCCCCCCTCCATGCATGGTTTCACCTTTCTCTGTTTCAGTTACCCAGACAACTTCGGTCTAAAAATATTAAGTTGAAAATTCCAGAAGTAAATAATGCATAAGTTTTCAATTGCATGCTGTTCGAGTAGAGGGATGAAATTCTGCATGATCCCACTTCATCCTGCCCCGGGATGTGAATCATCCCTTTGTCCAGTTTCTCTACACTGTATCCGCTACCCACCATTAGTCACTTAGTCGCCGTCTCAGTTATCAGATCAACTGCAAGGTATCATAATGCTTGTGTTCAAGTTACCCTTATTTTACTTAATAATGACCCCAAAGCATAAGAGTAGTGATGCTAGCTGTTAGAATATGCCAAAGAAAACCCATAAGGTGATTCCTTTAAGTGAAAAGGCATGTATATATAACAGTGACTTTCAACTGGTGTGCCACAAGAATTTTTAAAACATGCAATACCTGACTATTTAGTCAGGGGCACTGACCTCATTTCTCTTAGATTGTCAAATAAAAAATGACAACAGCCAACACAATAATGGCTGTCTGCTGTGAATGAATCAAAATTATACCAATTTTATTTGTCAAATTGCAAAATATATATTTTCTGTGCCACAGAATTTTAGTAATTAGTTTATGTGTGCCACGAGATGAAAAAGGCTGAAAATTGCTGACGTAGAAGAAAAAAAAAGTATACATAGGATTGAGTACTATCCACAGTTTCAAACATCCACTGGGAGTCTTGGAATGTATCACCTCGGTGGATAAGGGGGGAATACTCTGGGTTTTTTTTAGGACCTCAGATGCGGTTTGATTGGCATTTGAAAGGTGTGCAGTTACCATGGTTACTATGAGGTGCATGAGGAAATGCTCTTGGCCTCCAGTAACTGGCCAGGCAGGAGTGCAGGAGAGAGTTTGGATACAGCATGGTCGGCATCAGAACAAGTTGGTCTCGGGCACCAGCTTGCCCTCGGACACTCCAGCCCCAACCCAGAACAATCAGCAGGAAGTGGTGAGCCTGGTGAGCTCCTGTATGCTGTGCTCCCCAGAATTGGGGGCCTGGGGAGGAACTAGAAGACTGAGCCATGAGCCCTTTGCTTGCAGGGACTCTCGGCCCACCCAGCCAACCCCCTCCAGTCCTGCCCATGGGACCCAGCTCCTTCCTCACTGAGGCACAGCATGTTTCAGTCCCTTCCCAAATGCATGAGGGCTCCTGGGTGCCCACTGGGTTCAAAAGACCAGTATCCCTTACTCAGGAGTCAGGCCTGGGCCCCCAGCTCATCTTGTCCAGGGCAGGACACCAGCTAGGGTGGCATGTTCTATTCTGCATTCTCATGGGTCTCCAGTCATACAACGTCAGTGCCATTAGAAGGCAGGGACCTCAGGGCCTCTTGTCTCATGTGTCTGGTCTGATTGGCGATGGGTGCCAGCCTGCCCGGCACCCATTCCTGTGGCTGAGTAAAGTGAAGAGGCTGGAGCCGGCTCCCCCCGAACTTGAGAAGCACGGCTTAGCCGAGACTCTGTTTTGACTTCCCGCTCCAAGAGAGCAGCTGGAGACGAGGTTTCCCTTTCACACGGCTTGGTCTTCCAGATGTTCAGATTGGCACCACCCGCTACCCGACCTCTTATGTGTCTGAGCTGCTGAGAGTGAGAACTATGCCTTAGAAATAATTAATTTTTGTCATTAGGGAATCACCCTGAGCCCCTGGGGGCCATGAGGCTGCCTGCTACCCTCCTAGGATCAGGCAGGAAGGGCTGCCTTTGCCGCTTCCTGGCTCAGTGAGGCCACATTGACTAAATTAGGGAGAAAGGAACCTCTTCTGGCAGCTCAGTTGTGATGATGCCCAAGGCTGTAGCATGTGGAGCCTGGCAGGGAGGCAGCTGTGCCAACACATCCAGGGACCAGTATTCTCTGCCCCTCCTGGTCTTTGCACCCAAGAGCAGGATTAACAAGCTGACTGCACCAAGAGTGGGGGTGGTGTGCTCTGCCCCTTGGCCCAGGTCTTCTCTCAACCTTGGGGGTCTCAAAGCTGATGTGTCTGCTAGGCAGGTGCCATGGCACACAGAAGGGGAGCTGAGGGCCTGCAGCACGGAGCTGCCACAAGAACTGGCCTCTAGCCCCACAAAAGGAGTTGTGAGGACTGTCCTGAGGCCCTGAGCAGCATGTGAGTTTGTGCACTCTTGCTGCTTGCTCTGGGTTGGCTCCCCTCCATGTGGCACCTGGGGACACAGGGCTTATCCATTGAAACAACCTGGTGGCAGAATAGAAGCATAAACCCACCTTGAAGTGCTGCCCTGCCCCCAGTACAAACCTTCAGGAAGAGCATGGCAGGGGGCCTAAGGTCACAGAGAGAATGGAAGGGAGGGCACCCCACCCCAGGAAGGGCCACATGGGAACTCACGATGCTGTCAGCTCTCCTGAGGCCCACTGACGGGCGTCACAGAGACAGAGACACCTGTCTCAGTGGAACATGCGTGCACAGGACAGGAGTCACAGCTTCTGTGAGGGCCGAGGGCCTGGGTTGTGTATATTCCATATCTTCCCCCTGGGGCACGATGTCTCTAACAGTTGCATGGCCCTGTCACATCATGTCTGTGGCTGCTCTGCCATGTCGCAAGGCATCCAGGCCTGGAGTGGGCTACGCCAGGATCCTGACCCCTTCACTGGGGAGGGGTGTAGTGATCGCAGTCTTCATGCACATCTTCCTTGGGTCATCACTGCTTCTAGACCTTTCTGTGGTCAGAACCAGAGACTTTATATATTTTTTAAGATCGTGAATTTCCAATTCAAATTTAACATTATGAGGTTTTAACTGTTCCCTTTGACACATAAGATCTGTTTGCAGCTTTATTGTTAGGACATAACCTTCTGAGGATATTCAGTTAAAATGTTGGTTCCTATGGCTCTTGAACAAATCATCTTTCTATTGCTCTGTTACCAGCTTCATACACAATCAGGCCCCTTTGTTTCAGGTTATCTATAGGTCAAAGGGGTTTTTCCTATTTTTTATTTAATTTTATTTTTTAATATGTAAGCTATGTATATGATTAAGAAAACAAAATTGTATCACAGGATGTGTTTAGAGAAGTCCTATTCTTGTTTCTGTCTCCTCCCTGCTGTTTCCTCCCTTTCTTTTCTTTTTTTTAAAATTTGTCTTTATTGTTGAAAGATGGCCCTGGCCGGTTTGGTTCAGCGGTTAGAGCGTCAGCCTGCGGTCCTGAGAGACCCGGGTTCGATTCCCGCTAAGGGCGCGTACCTCGGTTGCAGTTTGTCCCTGGCCCTGGTCGGTCGTGCGGGTGGCAGCCACTCGATGTGTTCCTTTCACATCGATGTTTCTCTCTCTCTCTCTGTTCCTCTCTCTCCCTCCCACTCTACCTGAACAAAAAATGGAAAAATGTCCTTGGGTGAGGATAAAAAAAGAAAAAAAAGAAAGTATTGCAGATGCCCCATTTCCTCCCTTTCTGAGGCTCACTGTTTCTATTAGTCCTGTCTCATCCTTTCATTGATTCGTTGTGAAAATGTAAGTGTGTGGGTGTGGGTGTGTTTGAAGCCCATGGAGGTCAAAAATCCCTCGATGATATTTGTGTTCGATGTTTTACCAATTCTAAAGTGGACATTGTGAGAAGTATTTCAGGTAAACCAAGGAATCTCGGTCAAACCTGCTAAAGAAGACTGTGGTAAATAAACCGCTCTTATCTCCTTTAGGTCGAGTTCCAGAAACCAGAAGTCTGAATTTGGAGAAGGCTGGAGTAAACACCAACCCTGAGAGTAAGAAGATCCTGGTTGATGCCCAGGAAGCCACCTCTGTCCCCCATATCTACGCCATTGGAGACACAGCGGAGGTATGGCTGGTGCCTGATGCCTGACCCCCCACCCTGGCTACCTACCCTGGCTAGGCCTTGGGGACACACATGGCTGACAGATGCTCTGGGCCAAGTCCCAGGAGCTATGACTTGAGTACTGGGAAGAATTGGGTGTCAGCCTCTGCTGTCTTGAATGCTCTTTCTTTCTGTGGAGGGCAGGTAGGGAAGGTTTAAAAATGGCTCAGAGCACCGTTAGCAGATTCTGTCACAAACCTCCTGTGTGTCAGCTCTGAAGGAACACACTTGTTCACTGCAGTACTGGCTTCAACCTCCCTATAGAGGTGGGCAGAGGTGCAGGGCCCTAGAAATGCTGCCGCTGGACACAGCCTTGGGCCGTGTTAGCCCAGAGCATTGGATCTAACCTCCTTGCCTCAATTTATGCTCTGATCTCTGGGCAGGTGAGTACTCTCCGTGGGCTGTCAGACACGGGCAGGGCCTGAGGGCGCTGGAGCCTGATAGGGTATGGACCCAGACCCACACGCAGCCCTCCTGTTCCCTCCCCGGAAAGTAGGGTGCACACCACCTGTGAGTCCCTGGTGGAAACCCTGCCCTCTCTCCTCACAGGCTTCTGGTCAGTTGTGGGGCCCCTGCTCCCAGACAGCCTCAGGAGCAGTCGGCCTGTCCCGCATGTGTACAGCACATACTGAAAAAGTAGTGCAGGAGAGTCCCTGGTCAAAGGGGGCTGAGAGGGACACCAGGACCCCCAGACCTCAGCAGGCCTCTTGGCCTTGAGACCTGCTAGCATTATTGACATGTATGTTAGTTTCCCAGGGCTGCCATCACAAATCACCACACACTGGGTGGCTTAGAACAATAGAAATTTATTTTCTCTCATTCTGGAGGCTAGAAGTCTGAAATCTCCCCCTCCAAAGCCTCTAGGGGAAGGATCCTTCCTTGCCTCCTCTAGCTTCTGGTGGCCCCAGACGTTCCAGGCTTGGAGCTGGAGCTTTGTGATCTCCATCTTCACGTGGCCGTCTCCTCCAGGTGGCTGTTTGTTCTTGTTTATCATTTATCAAGACCCTCTCATTGGATTTAGGGCCCACCCTAATCCAGTATGTCCTCATGTCCATCCTTACCTTAATCATGTCTGCAAAGACCCTTATTTCCAAATAAGCTCACATTCTGAGGTTCCAGGCAGAGGTGAATTTGCGGGGGATGCTGTTAAACCCACCATGATGTGCTGATTTACATTCATTCATCATGTACTGACTGAGTATCCACCGTTCTGGTACCAGGCACTTCTCTGGGTTCTGGGACCATTGCAGGAACAGATAAAAGTCCCAACCCTCATAGAGGTGACATTCTGGTAGAGATCATACATGACAAATAAGTAAGTAGACTATTTCAGATTTAGAAGATGCTTAATTACTAAGGGTCAGGAGAAGCCTGAAGGGGGGATGGTGAGGGCTGGAGAAGAGCTAGAAAAGGCACAGGGGAGCTCAGGCACATGTACCTGGGCATAGGGAAGCCAGTATCTTAGGTAAGTGGATCCTAGGGCAGGGCATCCTGGAGCCGAGAGGGCACAAGTGGCAGATGTCACTGATGCTATGGGACCATCCTTCCCTCAGTGTTGCGTGCCAGCCTTTGCTGTGGTCATATCTGGGGGGCTTCGGGAGAGCTTGGACATGTGGAGACAGGCCAGGGCAGGGTTACACATAAAGCTGGGCCTTCCCTTTGTTCCTGAGAGGCCAGTCTTCCCATTGGGCATGGGTATTTGGGGACAGCTCAGGTGGGGCGTATGGTCAGAGCTCTGGTCAGTTCTCCTCCAGGTCATCTTTGACCATCTAGTCGTCCTGTTGCTGTGGACAGAAGTAAGTGGCTTTACATGACCTCAAGTGTCCCCAGGACCCGGCTCACATAGTCAGGCAGTGCAGTTGGTCAGTATGATCTCTGATAGCCTGGATGTGCCATTCTTTGGTAGTGGCCATCCTGTGAGCTGTGCCTTAAGACAGCATCAAGTCTTGGGAGAGAGCCCAATTTGAATAAGATACGTACCCCAGGAGCTGAGTGAGTTGGAGTTCCATCTATTTCAGACCACGTTGCCAGGAACATATAGTACACACAAAGACATTATTTATTCAAACATTAAATTTGCTTACTTGGAAAGGTCATTCTGAGCCGGCACAAGAGTTAATGCCCCAATGGTCCAGGGTGGGGAAGCCATTGTTTAGTGCAATACTGTGCGCGTGCGCCTGGAGGTTTCCGCACCTAGCCAGGCTTGGTGGAATGCACAGCCTGCTTTCCTGAGTTATCTCTGTGGATCTCTATTCATTTCTGGAATGTCAAACAACATCTGCATTTCCTGCTGCTGCAGAGGTGATTGGCAGCCAGTCCCAGGCTTACCCGTGCAGGAACGTTGGGGGCTGTGCGCCCCCACCTTCCCCCCAGCAGGACACCCACTGGGTTAGAGGGGCCCCCAGCAGAGTGGCATTTTGATTTGGGATTTGTAATGGGCTATGATGAGCTGTGTGTCAGGAGCACACAGGATGCTTCCAGGGCCTCTTTTAGCCTGAATCCCAGTTGATGTGAACGGCAGCAGGATCTCTTTTGAGCTTTGTTGTGGGGTCAGCTCGCCAAGGTCACTGACATGAAGAAGTAGTTCAGATAGAAGTCGCAAGGGAGCGTGGGTACTGTGGTGGGCTCATTAGAAGCTCAGCTCTCTGTGGGGGAAGGGTGTCATCACCACAGGTGTCCCCCAGAGCAGGACAGAGGGAGGGAAGAGAGAACCAGCAGACTCACCAAGGGCCCTGGTGCTGCTGCCTCACTGCAGAGACCCAGCAGCAAACAGTGTTTGGGGGTTTCTGAAAGGGAGACACCTCACTAGAAGGTGATGGGTGATGGAGGGACTACATAGACTCCCTTTGAAGACGCGCCAAACTAACCCCACACTCCTCCTTCCTCTGTCAGGGGCGGCCCGAGCTGACGCCCACAGCTGTCATGGCAGGGAGGCTCCTGGCCCAGAGGCTCTGCGGCCAGTCCTCTGAGCTGATGGACTATGACAATGTGAGTGCTCACTTCTCTTCACAAGGCTAGGTTCAGCCTGGAGAGGGCTGTGGTTCGTCCTGGAGTGTGGGAGTATGTGTGCATGTATGTGCACGTCTCTCTGTGTGTGTATGTGGGTGTGTGGTGTGTGTACATGCATGTCTGTGTGTGTGCAGGTATCTGCATTTTTGTGCGTGTGTATGCATGTGTGCATGCATATGTACACATCTTCATGTGCATGTGTGTGCACACATCAGTGTGTGTGTGCATGCATGTATATGAGGTTCAGCTCTGAGGGCAAGCCCCAGAAGAAGTGAGTGAGTCTACCAATTGTCTTGTGACCTGCCAGCCAACATGTCTGGGGACTTGGCCCAAGTGAGAATCTTTAGTGTTGGGTCTCCAGGGGTGTGTCTGACTCAGAACCTGCTTTCCAGGTCCCCACGACAGTCTTCACCCCGCTAGAATATGGCTGTGTGGGGCTGTCAGAGGAGGAGGCTGTGGCACGCCATGGAGAGGAGCACGTGGAGGTAAATCAGGGCGCTGAGGAGAAGCGGCTGCCACAGTATGATACCTGTGTGGCACTCATGCCTCCTGACATCCCCTCCCTGACAGAGGCCTGGCAGAGGAGCAAGAGTGTGGGCTTCCCTGCTTCCCAGGGCCTGCCGCTTGGCAGGGCAGGAACAGGATGGAACATGGGGACCCAGAACGATGGCTGTGATACCGTGATGTGGCTGGAAGGGACATGTGAGATGGGGGTGTGAGAGGGTGGCCTCAGAAACTAGGGAGCCTTTGGGGTGTGGCCCACCTCACAGGGGCATATGTCTCCCTAGACCTGGAAAGGCTTCTCCTGCACTCTGACCTCTGCTCCCCTTGTCCTCTGTTCTCTTGCCCCAGCCTGGCCCTGCCCCCAGATACCTTGACTTCCTGCGACTCTCCCCTGTGGTTTCTTCAGTCTGAGGGGGTCACAGTCCCCTCCCAGCCACATGCCAGCTTCTGCCTCTACTCTTCCGAGACCCTTCCAGTCCCCACAGGCCCCTGGCAGTCCAGACTTGGGCTGTCATCCCTGAGGCAGAGGGGTTTCATCAGACAAGGCTTCTGGGGTCTGCTCTGGCAGGCCCACTGTGGCCTGGAGGCGGCCACGGAGCGTGCCCCAGGCAGCCTGGCAGGATGTGGGAAGGCTTTGGATGCTGGAAGCCTGCAGTGTGGGTTCCTCTTGCTGCTGCAGCAGCCTGCAGGCAGACCGATCAGAAACCAGACCCCATGTGGCCACCACAGCAGGGCTCGGTACCCTTTGGGAATGAGTCACTGGACTCCGGGGCCTGCCCCTTGCCCCAGCGCCCCAGTCCCCTCCATCAACGGGCCAGGCCTGACAGGCCAGCCTTTCCCTCAGCACTTTATTTGCTATTTTTGTTTGATTCATCACAAGTACACTGGGACATATGTTCATGGCATTTTATAATGTTGTTTTATGTTTCACAATGTTGAATGGCCAAATACTCTTTGTTTGTTTTTTTTTCAATTCTGTCTTAGTTAGAACAATATTCTCTGAAGCTCCATTAATTAATAATGGCTGTGCAACACATGTGAGGGCCCTGCTCATTTTTTACTCAGCCGCAGCCCTGAACACGCTGTTGGTTCCTTCTCGGGTGCTGAAAGCCTTTGTCCGACAGCTCCGGTGTGGGCCGGGGGCCGCCCTGCGCCTGCCCCCTCCTCCCTGCTCAAGTGAGGGCCCACCAAGCACCAGGGTGCCTGAGGGAGGCCAGATGGCCACCCGCTAACCCGCTCCTGTCTCCCGCTGCCTCAGTCACCCCATTCACCCGGCAGCGTCTCCCTGGTCTCTACTATGTTCACATAGCCTGTCAGAGCTGGAAAGTGTCTGGGGGCTTGATTGGCTGCAGCCGCTGACTCCAGGAATTGGTATTTGTCACCCAGGTTTATCACGCCCATTATAAACCACTGGAGTTCACAGTGGCTGAACGGGATGCCTCCCAGTGTTACATAAAGGTGAGTGTCCTCGTGGGCCTGGGATGGGGCATGTCAGGAGGTGAGAGAGAGTGAAAGAGTGGGACCTGGAGGGTGGGGGAGCCCCACATGGCCACACATGCCCTGGGGGGGGGCCACACGCAGCCCCGGGGTCCCACCTCCAGCCTGGTGGCAGCTGACTGTGTGGCTTTCAGATGGTGTGCCTGCGGGAGCCCCCACAGCTGGTGCTCGGCCTGCACTTCCTAGGCCCCAACGCAGGTGAAGTTACTCAAGGATTTGCTCTGGGGATCAAGTAAGTCCAGAAGAATGTCGGCCGTTACATGATGCTCAGACTGGTGTCCCTCTGAATGTTGGCAGCAGTACAGTGGAACGTCCACTGTGTTGACGTTGCTTTTATGTAGTGTTGTCTGTGTTTTCAGCAGAATGTCTCCTCAGAGGGGCCAGGTTCAGCCAGACAAGCGGCTTTCTTCTCCAGCCAAACCCTGATAAGCCAGCCACACCGCCTGTCTATCTATGGCCAGGCCACCTGGGGGGCAAGAGGAGAGCCTCATGTCCCTGGCTAGCCCAGGGGTGTCACTCTTTGGGTCTTTTCTACTCAAAATGAGCAGGGTTGGGTCCCTTGATCATGGGGCCCAGCACTCAGGCGGTCATGAGCAAGGTTTCAGCGTGAAGGGAACTGTGAGAGCCAGCCCCCCGGGAAGCATTCATCTGCTGGAGCCCTAGCCATTACCTGGGTCTTGGGCACAGGCTGTGCGTTGTGGGGCCCAGGGCTTCCTGGAGCCGTCGCTGACGGGGGCTCTGGGTGTGAGTGGGTTATTCAGGGCAGCTCGGAGGTGGGGCAGCTTGGTGTGGGGCTGTCAGGGGCCATAGGATGGGGTGAAACAGAGGGGAGGGACTGAACTCATAAAGGAGGACACGTGTGCCTCCTGGATCCCCACTTGTGCTTGGGGTATATGGAGGTAGGAAGTCTGAGGACAGGGTGGGTTCAAGGAGCAGGGTTGATACCCAGAAAAGCTGATGATGGAAGGGCTGCAAAGGCCGAGGGTTTAGTCCAGATGTCCTAGGGATACCCCAGCCTCCCACATAGGCAGCATGGGCCCTCGGATAGAGGCATCCCATCACAGGGCAGCAAGCCTCGGGCCCCACCCTTGCCCTCCTAGCCCTTCACACACACGTCAAGGTGATCACTGGGCTGTGGGGTCAGGTTCTCCCCAGAGGGGAAGGGCAGGTGGGCCTTGAAGGAGAGGAGAGGAGCCAGGGCTGGGTCCAGGGCTGGACTAACATCCTTGGAACGTGTGTCTCTGGTCCTTAATCATGAGATTCATGTTACACCCCATTCAGTCCAGAGCGACCATTGGAAGGAAGCCCATGAACCTGGTATAAGACTCTGCTGAGTCTTGCCAGAGCCTGTTGTGGGGAGGGCAGTCTACCCTGGGCACAAAGAGAACAGCTGAGGGTGAGCCCTGGAACTTTGCCCACTGACCTGTGTGTGAGCACTGGCAGGCCGGGCTGTCTGCAGCTCCAGCCCTGGAGGTCTCTGTGGCCACTGGGACAGGGAGTCTTGGCTCTCCCACGAAGCCATCTCTATCCATACTCCAGCATGATGATACTTTTGCCAGGACTATCACTGAGCTTCTGGAACAATTTCTAGAGTGACCCTTTAAAATGCAGCAGCCTTTTTAAAATAATCCAACTACAAAGGGCTGATTTCTTTAATATGCAAAGAACTCTTAGAAATCAATAGTAATAATCATAGGATGAATTCTATAGAAAGATAGGGAACACGATAGGCTAATTCAGAAGAAAGGAATATAAAAATAAGTAAAAAGCTGATGTGTCTTGATCAGAATTTTAAAATGTAATGGAAACACCAAGAAACCCTTTTGGTTGATGAGGGTGTCCGGTAGTGATAGTTTTCCAGCGTCTGCACAATGGAGATGCTGAAGGTTTGAGCAAGTCAGTGGAGTGATAAGAGTGATGTTCCAGACATTTGGAAGGAAGGCCTTCTTTCCGCATTTGAAATGAACACACTAGATGTTCATGGTGGGATTCTTCCTACCAGATAGGCATCCCGGCACACGTGTGCACAGACATAAGAAGAGCTGTGTGATGGGAGTGCCCTGTGGGGTGCCCACATGCAGTATGCCAAGGAGTGAACAGTGCATGGGGAGTGGTTGTTGCTGAGCATGCAGGAGGCACCTGTGCGACAGGTGCCGGGTGCCAAGCAGAAGAGCGACTGGGAGAGGGAGCTGGGCAGGTGCAGGCTCTGGTAATAAAAAGTGGGCCCAGGCAGAGTGAGGAAGTGGGTCCCGTAGAAGGACCAGCTGGAGCCACAGCCCAAGCAGAGCTGTGTCTGGTGGGCTGGGAGCAGCAGGAAGCCAGGCTGGAGCAAATGAGGGAGGGGTCAGGTGGGAGGCAGGCTTGAGGCGGGGCTGCATGTCCACTGCAGGCATTTGGAGGGAGATTGGATGGGTCCAACAGGTGTTAGCAGGTGTTTCTGGCTCTGGCTGGAGGAAAGAGGGTGGGGGCCAGGGTTGAGAGATGACTTCTGAGGCGCGCCCCTGTGTGCCACCTCCCCAGAAACAGGGTAACGTGAACATGTCACCCTGCACTGCCTCACTGCCCCCCCCCTCCTCTTGCGTGTAGGTGTGGGGCCTCCTATGCACAGGTGATGCAGACAGTGGGCATCCACCCCACTTGCGCCGAGGAGGTGGCCAAGCTGCATATCTCCAAGCGCTCGGGCCTGGACCCCACAGTGACTGGCTGCTGAGGGTAAGCCGCCATCCCTGACAGGCCCAGGGCACACGGCACACCTGCTACCCCACAGCCAGGCCCTTCGGAGCTTCAAATCCAGGTACGTGTACGGGGTGGGCTCCATGAAAGGATAGAGCAGTGGTGGGAGGGGGGAAGGTGCCACTGTGAACTGCTCTCCAGGTGTGTGGCAGGCTGTACCTGCTGTGCCACCTCACAGGTAAGCCCTGGTCCCAGGCCACAGTAGCCAAAGAAACAGGGATAGGAAGAGGCCGCTGAAGGCCCCACCATCCCCAGGGTGTGGGAAGTGTCCTCCAGGCTGAGCTCAGTGGGCCGCTGGGTGGAAGGAGGGCCTCCCTCTCCCCCCTCCTGTCTTGCCCTGTGCAGAGCAGCGCCAGCTCGTTTCTCTCTCGCCCAGAAGGTGGAGATGCTGCCTTGTGCACAGCTGCCGCAGCACCGCTGGTTTCTTAGAGCTTCCCAAAGCCAAGCTGGGCCAGTGGCGGCTGGAAGCCTCTGGCTATGTTGTTGATCTCAGCCCTCTTCCGAGGAGGAAGACATTAGCGAGGCCCTCCCTGACCCCTGCCAAGGGGATGCCTGCGGTCAGGGCCTTTCATCTCTCAGCCTGCGCATCCTTCAGCCTCAGCGTGCGGGGCCAAGCAGTGGCCGAGGGGCCCATTGGCAGTGGGTTCAGGGCCTCTCCTGGGGCACTCTGAGCACCTGCTCCACCACAGTCCCTCAGTCAGGGCTGCCTTTGACACAGACACACAGAGGGCATCCTGAGGAAGCCCTTATCAGTGTCACACCTAAAAGAGCTATTTTGTTAAGAGCCTGCCATAAATTTTTATCATCGCAAAATATTTTTCACATTACAGTGTTCCCTATGACTCATCAGCCTCAGGGGGCGCTCTTCGGGGCTTGTTTCTCATCTGCCCTGAGTGGATCCCTGTGTGTGGGCACAAAAGACATGGCCAGGCGTATGTGGGGATGGTGTGGCTACCGCATGCTGACCCCACATCTTTGGCAGGACACTGGAGGCCAAGCCCAGGCGACCCTCAGCCCTGCCTGGAGATCCCCAGCCTGGAGAGCCCCTGAGGTAGTTGGCGTGGGCGGCGTGTCTGGATGGACTGCCCGTGTGCCCTGCAGGGATGGCTTCTGGGGGTATCGGTCCCCACACTTTCCCTGTCCACCCCCTCCTGCCTGGCAGCCCTGCTAGGCCCTGATGCCAGATGATGACGACCTGCGCAGAAACCCACCCTGTGGGCTGCCCATGTCCGAGCCTCCCTGGTATTTCTGGAGTACAAATAAAGAGGGTGTTTTCCTGAAGTGTGCCCTGCCTGCTGCATCTCCAGTGTATCTCCAGGATGGCTCTGTGGGGGTGGGACCTGGCCATCCATCCTGACAGCCTCCCACCCCATCACCTTCCTTCATCATTTGGGAACTGCTTCCAAGTTCTGCGATGGGAGCTGGGGTAGTATCCCTGCATTCCCAGCATCAGTGCCTCGGAAGACCCCGACCCTCCCGGCACAGACCTCGGGGAATCCCTCCCAGGACGCTCTGTGCACCTCATAGGTGGGCATCCACCCCACCTGGTAGGTGCTGGGGTTGGGGGCGGGGCAGGAAGCCTCTGGCTTTGTTTTAGAGCATCCTGCCAGTGGTGTGACCCAGCGACGGGAGTGGGCAGGGGTGTTGGAGGCTTTCTGTCCCTGAATGTCAGGCACCTCATTACGTTTTCATGGTGGCCTCCAAGTCAGCTTGTCTGCGGTACTCAGGCTAATCCTGCACATTGAGGCTTGATGGTGCCTGTCAGTCACCACAGAGAGATAGTGCTGACAGCGACAGGCAGGGCCTGGCATTGTGCTGGGGCTTTAGTGGCGGTTAATCTCATGTCTTTCTTAAGAAAACATCACTTAGTCTGCCGGCCCAGGAGCCTTGGATGGGACCCTGCTTGTCAGCAAACAAAGGAATGTCTCTGCACCGTAATGGGCCTACGGGAGCCTCCGCCGCTCTGTGTGAAGCGTGTGCAGGAGCTCTCAGACGCCCAATTAAGATGCCAAGTGCTGGGCTGGGCCGGGCCCTCTCGACAAGTGCAGTGCGAGATCAGCCGTGTCCCATTTAACGCACGGCTGGCAGCACGCCCCATCCTGGATCCTGCTCCGAGGGCCGCCGCTCCGCTGGGAGGAGGTGTGCCCCTGTCTTGGAGGCAAAGGCGAGGTCTGCAGAGGTCAGCTAGCGCTTGGGCTGCCAGGGCAGCCGGAGGGGCCCCTTCTAGGCAGGGGCTTTCAGATTCCTTGAGCTGGACCCATTTCTGCCTTGGGGCAAATGAGGAACCCGAAATGGCCTTGTTTCTTTTTGTGATGATGGAAGTGATGCTGCCTGAGTGGGAGCCTTCAGTACACACTGGGCACCTCTCTGGGGCACCCGTCACTGGCAGCCGGGTGCTGTCCACATGTGCCCTCCCCCCCGTGGTTTTCTCTGCACACCCCTTGCCCCAGTCCAGCCCTTGCTCCAGCACACCTGCTGGGTCTGTAACGCCCACTGTCTGTGCTGCATCTGGCCTGTGCCAGCACCTGGGGGAGAACAGAGCATCTATGGTGCGGGGCACCACCAGCCTCACTGTCTAGGCCTGTGGGTACTCAGGACAGCTCTTGGGGGATGCTGCCTATGTGGCCCTGAAGCTCCACAGCATCCATCCCAGAGACCTCAGGCCCACTGGCTTCCCTGCATGGGGCTCACGCTTTCTGGTAAATGGTGGGCAGGGACCTGGCCCAGTTCGTGAGCGAGCAGTGGGGGTTCCAGGTGACAGCCTGCCATGGAGCCTGACGCCTTCCCCTGAGCCACATGTGTCCATATGCGGTTGCCGCCATGTTGCCCAGTGACCTGGCCGTCCCACATGTACCCACGGCTCTGTGAGGTCTGGGGACCAGATACTGGGGTTCTGGGCAGGCAATCTTCCGAGAGCTGTTTCGTTCAGGTCACAGCCCACTATGCACATGGGTCTCAAGTCTAAATAAGAGCGTGGGTGGCAGGACAGAGCTCTGAGCAGGACAGAGCACTGAGCTGCAGTGTTCTCTGTCTTGCTTGCCTCCTGGCTCCAGGCTCATTGCTTGGCCCGAGGCCCCTCCCTAGACCCACCCATACCCTGTCCCCGCCTCCCAAAGATTGAGGGAGGTGCCAGAGCACCACAGGCCAGGTGCTCTCCACCTGGCCTGAGGGCCGCCTTCCCGCCGCCTTTGCATGTTTTTATGGTGCAATGAAAATATGATTTTAATTCCTCAGATTGTTTTGTGTAACCTACAATTACCCCCGGTGACGTCCTGCACACTTCTGCTTATGGCTCAGATTGCACAACGACATGGGAGGGAGAGGGGCTGCCGCTCAAGGCCAAACCACCCCCTCCCTGGCTCACTCTTAGCTCTGAAGTTGGGCAAGTCACCCTTTAGCAGGCTGCCACTCCTCTTCCTTTTCTAGCACGCTGGGGTGTTGTCCCCTAAGGCCTCTAGTGAGGCAGGTACACAGAGGAGAGGTGACAAGCAGTTTTTGAGGGCTGGACTGAGGATGACGAAATAGGTGAGGGGGTACAGAAGAGGCATCAGCTCATGAGAGGTCGCCAAGATGCTCAGGCTGCAGTCCCCCTCTAAACCCTCTGCAGGCTGCTGATGTCTTCCCAGCACCTCACAGCCCTGCCAAGACCCCCAGCTTTTCTCAGCAGCAGCGGGGAACACCTGCCCCATGCGTGCTGCAGCCATGCTTTAAATGCAGTGGGGAGGCCTGGCTGAGGAAGTGACCACCTTGCATAGCAGGGGTCCTTGCAGGCAGAGTTGCCCCATGAGAACAGGTCTGCGTCAGGCGATGCCTGTGGTTCAGGGTGTCTGTGCCTGCGGCTTCAGGTTTGGGCTTGCCCCTAGGACCCTAGGGTGGCTTGTCCCACAGTATCTCGGCCACACTCCTCACTTCACCTACCCCAGGCAGCAGCTCGGAGGCACAAGCAGTACCCTGGGCTCCAGCCCACTCCCCAACCTGATGCAAGCCTGAGCCCCTCACCTACCACTCACTGCTGGGTGCAGAGCTGCCAGGAGCTTCTGCAGTGCAAGTGACCCAGGCCCCTGAGGAGGGGCACCCTGAGTCAGCCAGGCAGTGTGCTCATCAGGGCCTGTGTCATCTTGAGAGATCCATGGCTTCCAGGCCACATCACTGAGCCCTCCAGACCCTATTCAGGCTCCAGGTGCCTGGGCCACCCCGGTGAGGGGGCTCCTTGCATGGCCTCAATGCCCTGCACTCACTTCACTCACTGGAAGTGCACACATTGCGTCTGGCTCTTACCGTGTCAGGGTCCAGGCCAGGGCGCTCAGGGGCAGGCCACCAGGAGCCACTCCTGCCTCCCTACTCACAACCCTCTGAGCCTCCCAGGTTTCCTCTGGGAGCCACTTCCCCTCCCTTCCCACTCCAGGGGTCCCCACCAGACAGCAGGGCTGAGTGACTTCAGGAGTGATGCCCCAGGGAGGGGGCAGAGTAGACAGGGTTTGGGCTGATTTTACAGATGCTGCTGCTTGTTACACATGCACTTGATCATGGCATGGCCAGGGCCACAACCTTCAGACTAAGTTGTAATATCCGTGGGACAAAACAGACCAGTGTACTCCCCTGCAGACCTGCTCTGGGCAGGCCTGACCTGCTGCCTACCCTGCCCTATGCCCACTCCTCCCCCATCTGCCACCCCAGCTTCCAGCAGTCTCTTGGGTTTCTAGTCCTGCCCTGAGGGCTCCAGGAGCCCTGCATTTCCTGGTCCCTGACCAAGCACCTGTGCCTGCAAGGGGAGCAAAGAGGCCACCGAGTGGGCCCCATGGGGCCCAGCAAAGCATCTTAG